GATACAGCTAGATAGCATGAATGAATTGGCACAAACCTATGATCTCCGAATCTGCTCATGTACTTGACAGTTGCATAATCTTTCCATATTCAGAGTCCTAAAAGAAGCATTTTGATTATGTAAGAGCTGCTATAACAGCTCCCTGACGACTAGAGCTAATCATTGGACTTAATCTGGTTGAAATTTTTAATTTACAGCCTAAAAATTAAGCTAATTATTCATTAGCGGCGGCTTTTGGAAAAAAAACGTACACTAGTAACTTTTGAACCCTCAAATTACGGTTAACTTAGTTGAATTTAAGAGAGAAAATAAGACAATACAAAGAAAATATAATTGTATTGAATGATGTAATTTGTTTACAAGAGAGACATCATATTTATAGTTTAATTTGATATAAATGTTTTACTTTCTAATCAATGTGGAACTAATTAACATGTGCATTATGCATATATGTATATACATTAACAAACTTAACCACTAAACAATTTACATTTATGTTTAACTTTTGAACTCTCAAATATGATTAACTTAACCACTAAGCAATCGTCCCATTGTGATCGTTACTCTAGATAAATAGCATTATTCCAAATATATACTCACGTTTTTGTTTTGTGTAGTAATAGTTGTATAACAGGTATTAGTTAAACTATTGTGAGTACTGAAAATACACATCTTTGTGAACTTAACATTTACTTGTTTCGCTTTGTCAAATAACGATGTTGAGTGAGTAATGTTATTTAGCACTATTTGAGTCAAGCATCAATATAGATGGCTCATTAAATAATAAATTCACTTAAATGCAACATCGCATGATTCATTTAATTGAATGACCATCTAGACTGGTGTAAAATAGCATTATTCTAAGTAATATGAATACAAAGAAAAACGTGGGAACGTGATTATATGAGCATCACATTGAGCTGGCGTGAGTTGATTGGAGGAATTATAGCACTAGTATTATTGTAATATTAAACTTTCTGCAAATTGCTCCTTCAATAACTTGTTAACTCCAGGAAGACAAAATGTGTACATTGAAACTATAAATATTCTTCCATTATAGATAACTAATATTACACTCGTGAAAGGTTGTGTCATTGAACAATGAAACTAGGATAAACATATTGAGATTTTATCATAGAACAAAACTGCCCACCAACAATGAGGCCAGTGGCACTGTGAAGTTGTCATCAAGTTTAGAACTTAAAGGGTGGGATTCAACGAATGCAGAGGCAACAGACACTATGAAGAATCCAAGAACCATCTTTGAACTTTCTTGAATATACCCTAACCACGAAAAATAGAACATGTACCTATTGCCACATTTTATAGTAGCAAATAAATCATCAGTGTAATTGGAAAAATTAAAGAGAAAAAATTAAGAAATAAATATTACCCTAAAGAAGCCAAAAACCCACAAGTTGCCATGGCAGTGGTGCCAACAATTGATTTGTTTCTGTTGTAGGGAAGTTTGCAGCTTCCAAATCGTCTCCCCGCAATATCAGCTATACCATCTCCAGCACAGAGGTTGCAAATTGCTGCTATTGCTGCCGGAGAAGTTCTCCAATAGATAGCAGTGGTCAAAGTGATTGTGGAAACATACCCCATTGTTGCCTTGAGAAGTTCCCTAACCCACTCAAAGTTACATATAAGAAGCTTTAAGGAAACAATGAGACTACTTGAAGGGTATTCTCCAGTAAGAATATATATATATATATATCCTTGTAACTTTTAAGTTTTCTTTAAAAAACTTTCAATTTGTAATTTTCAATTTCAAGTTTCAATTTTCAAATTTATTAAATCAATAAATTCATTGTTTTCATCAACCTCTACTTCTCTTGTCCATCTCCCTGGGCCTCCTTTGGGGTGTGTGTGTGTGTAGTTCTCTTGCAGTGGTATAAACCTGGAATTTCGGTATCTGCTGAGCGAGCGGATGATTTTCTCATCTTTTCCCATTCCAAGTCCTACAATAAGTCCTCTAATTGTCACTAATCCAGGAATAAGAGATGCTAAAAGTGCTCCTGTACGCCCAGAACTGTCCAGAAAAGTAGCTTGTTCACCATTTATCAAATCTAAGAGATCAGAAAGAAAGAACCTCTTAATTTGTTAATGAAGTAAAATTACCTGAACATTGGCCAGCATAGCATCAGAGTTAGTCCAATCACAACATGACAAAGCTTCCTAAGTACATTCTAATCCCCCACACCAAAAATAAAATAAAAAACAAAGAATGCATGTAATAAGAAAAGAATAAACTCTGGTATTCTTAATTTGCAGTAATCTCAATGCAGGAAAAAGAACATAGAAGCAGACCAAGTCGAAGAGCTGCATTTTCGCTGTTTCTTCCAAGAATTTAAGTATGGATAGGATAACGCTGTAGGTGAATGCAAGGGCAATGATATCCACCACAACCCAGTTACACCAAAACATGTCCTAAGCTGAAAATCTGATCCCTTTTATCTGCCAAGGAATTTGTAATCAAATAGAATAATGAAGATGATCCCACAACTTGGAACATATATAACTATTGCAGATTGACAATAACTTAACAATAAACAATTCTTTTTCTTAGTATAAGCTTATGTGTCTTATGATCAACAAAAGCTTTCCATATTTTATGGATTCACATTTCTTACATGAGTCATCGCCCAGAAGACCAAATTATAAAAATTATGATATATAGTTCCTTAAACGAATCGTTTGGATGGTTGTTATAGCAAGTTGGAGTTTAACTTCCTTTTCTGAGCATTTCGTGCGTGGCACTGGTAGCATAAACCATAAAACTGAATCTTCATTTCATTTTTTTTTTTTTTTTTGTGTGTAGACTAATGTCATAGCTCATTTTTAAGGATTCGTTTCTCTGTCTCTATCACATCATTGTTTTTGTTCCAATTGTCTTTTTATTAATTTTTCTTTGGAGAAATAAGTTTACATTATCACTATACTAAAATCGCAATAAGTTTACGTTATACTTTTTTATTTTGGTATATTTTCATTATTTTATCAGTTAAGATAAAAGTAACCAACTGCAAATAAAACAAAATCTAAAGTTCATTTGCAAAGCATTTACAAAAGGTTTAGATTATAAATAACTAAAAATGAGTTATAAATAAATATTTAATAGTTGTAAGTCTGTAAATAAAAAATAACTTGAGGATTTATAAAAGCACTTCCAAAACAAGCTTTATCCACTTGAATTTTTTATGTCCAACCATGTTTTTAACCCGACAATATCCATTTTTCCCATGCTAGTTGTGGACCACCAATGGCCATAACGAACACACCATAACAAAAATTTTCATTAAAATACTCTTAATAAAAATCAACTAGGACGATGAAAATTCTTAGATACATTTCACACCTCAATACGTGAGCCCGATCCAGGATTACTTTTTAACACTTGTAGCTACAAAATACAGCAAATGCTGACTAAAATATATATATTCACCAGAGATGGGAGTTGAGACAAGGAAGTTTCAGCTAATATAATCAAAAACTAACTCAGATTCTCAGAACAGAATGTTCCTGTCAGTAAACCTCAGCAGGCAGTTCAAAAAAGAAGGCAAATTCTAGTTCTTCGTTGAGGAGCTGAAAAGTGTAAAAAATTGATAAAAATATAAATAAATAAATAAATAAATAGGAAGGGGATGGGGATGGGGAAGAAGATGCAACCAAGAAATGGCATCAGCTGATTTTACGAATGGAACATGCTTAGAGAAACAAAAACACAATGGAGCTTCAATCAGCTTATGAGTTTTTTTTTAAAAAGGACCATAATAATTCAACCACATTTTTATCTGCCTAGTAGGTAAATAAATCAACAAGTATTTTCTCAACTGCTCTCATCTATGAAAGTGAGTAAAGCTTGGTGTTTTGCTTAGTGTAACTTGCCCAAGATTTTGCTAATCCCACCCATGCAACAATGCCAACTGCAAGGATTATCCATCCAAAAACGTCATATTTGAGATCGCTACTTTTGTTCTTCTTTGCACTCTTCTTCTGTAGAATAGTAGCAAACAATATTTAAACGACATAACAAAATTCAGGCACAAAAAGAACTGTATGATGTATTCACCATTGTAGTGGTAGCATTATCCTTGAGGTTTGTATTTGTATAACATTCAAAAGTTTTCTATAATAATAATGGCATGTAAGTTAAAAGATGCTCAACGAAAAAGATACGCCACAGAAACTAAATGGAGGGTAAATTGGAGGCATAAATACAAAATGGGAAGTCAAAATAATCTGATAATTTTGTATCACATGCATATATGTGGAAGGTCAAAAGTTTACAATCCTTTACTATTTTACACCATTTCTCTCCAACCCACCCCCTTCTTCATGCCCAAGTGTCAAGGACCGCAGCTTCAATTAGCCACTTGACCCAATCGCAGTCGCAGTTTGCCCCGTACATTGTAAATATTTTATTTCAATTGTAAAATAGCTATGATATTGGAAAACGATTAGTATGATTCCTTGACATTTAAACATCTACACTTATCACTTAGATTTTGTTCAAAATGGTATTATAGGGGGTGTTAGTCTTTCAAACAATTTTTCAAGCTTTCTAGTGTTCGCCTCCTATACTAGCCATTGTAATTCTCTGTTTTCATCAATTGTAATTTCTAACTTTCAACCAATCAATTATCAATTTACTTTCAATGCATTTCAACTTCATGTTGCAAGCTTTCTACAAATTCTTTCGTCCCGAAACGATATCGAGAGAAGACGGAAGGTAGTTTAATGGAGCAGACTACTGCCGCACGATGTCCCTTTCTGTGCCAAAAAGAGAAAAAGTTATTGATGTGATGGAAAATATTATTTTATTGAAAAATTTGTTATTGAAAATGAATAGAAGAATGAGAATGAAAAAAATAATGTAACTCAAACAGGGGTCTTAATATATTTTTTCTATCTTCATTTTTAATCACATTCTGTAAAGTAATATTACATATAAACACAAAAAAAATTCCTTGCTTTTTAACTACATATTTTTCAAAAAATAATTATATAAAAATACTTTTTTTTTTTTCAAAATTTCATTAAAATGGGGTCCAAAACAAGGGCTTAGACAAATAAGGAAAAATAGGTGGCTAAATTGAAAAAATATTGATTTTTTGTTAAATATTTTAAATGTACAATAAAAAATGGCTAAAAATAATGGCAATTATTTCTATGTAATTTTTTGACAAATATTTTTGGCAAATTGCCATATTTCTTTACAAACTTTCACTTTATTTATTATATTAAAGTGTATATAATTTTTAAAATTGTAACTTAAAACACATGTAATAACATATTGCTTTTAGGGTGTGTTAGATTGCGAGAATGAAATTTGAATGCAAAGAAAATAAATTGTCTATAACTTGTTTGTATGAAAATTATTGATTAAATGTATTTGATTGATTTAGTTTTTAACTTAGAAAATATTATACTTGTCTATTTTTTTATTGGTGGGTAGATGAAAGAGAGTGAATAGATAAGAAAAAGAAAGAAAGAAATCAATTTAGGTTTGGAGATTAAAATTTTGATGTGAGGTGGGGATACTTTTTCTCCCAATTTGAAGAAAAACGTTATTAAATGAAATTATTTTTTGTGCAGATGGTTAAGTTTTGATACCGTTTGTTATTAAGGGGTTTACCAATGGGAGGTCTCTCGTTCAATACCACATTAAAGGAAGGTTCAAAAATCGAACATTGATTTTGTATAATCGTTGAGAACTTATGCTGAAAGTCTTCAAGAGTTGTTTTTTTTTAGAAAAATGTTATTCATCCTCAGTGGGAATGCATCCCTAGTCTATATGGATGTAAATGATTGGTTAAATGATATGTGAAATTAAATGACTTATTCATTTAATGTCACATTAACGTCACATAGATTGAATATGCATCCTTAGTGGGAATGAATAGCATTTCTCGTGTCAATAACAACAAAAGCCACGTGGATTTTTTTGTCCAGATGGGGATAAATGGAATTAGGATGAATCAAGCAATCAATAATTTTTGAATGGACAAATGCTATCAAATATAAAATTTGATGAATTAACTCACCATAAAGGCCATCTAATAAAAATTACTCNTAATTTGTTGGCTCTAATAAAAATTACTCTTTCCCCAACCCCTTTTTGTCGCATCCGTTCTCTCTTTATCTTGATATATTCACAGCGAAGTCCACAGAAAACGAAATGGTGGCAAATAATTACCATAAGTACGGCTGCGGACAGAAACTTAAGACGTCGTCAAATTCAACAAACAACAAATGATATGTCGCGGTCTGTGCGTATTACACCACCAATGGAATGACTGGGGCAGACCACAGAATCTAGACGCTAATTGCTCCTGCACAACGATGGCTTCAATTCCGCTCCCTACACTTAATTTATCAACGAAGTTGTCGCCGATTAGTTTTAACTTTAGTGCTAGAAATATATCAGCGTTCAATTCGTTTGCTGTCAAGTTTACGCTGCTGAAGAGTAATCGAAGGAGTCATAAATATGTTTGCCGAGCTGCCTCAGTTGTTTTTCGCGATCTTGATGCTGATGACTTTAGGCATCCTCTTGATAGACAGGTAATTGATGATTTCCTTACAATTTCATTCCTTGAGGTACTTATTTGTTAATATGTTCTGTGTTCTTAAGTGGTATAAGTTGATGGTTTTCATGATAATTTCTGCACTTTGAGGTTCTTATTTGTTCACTAATTTATCGTGGTGCAGAACACGTTGCTTTTGAGGGCGATTCCGGGGTTAAACGAGATTGGAAAAGCTTTATTAGGTAACTCATGATCAATTCCGGTTTTAAAACACTAGATAGAGTAAAATCCTTGATTTACCAGGAAATACATAGACTATTAGAGACAACAAATAAGGCTACTTCATTGCTTAGACTGACCTTTTTTACTGGGATAATTCTGTTATTTAATTGCTCGCTCCATGCCTGATCGGAGATGAAGTAAAAAGTCATAAAATAAGGATGAAAATTCTATTTGATAAGAAGAACCAAAGAGTTCATCTTAATATGTGGTTCTGCAGGAACTGTTGCTGAACAAGTCATGCTTTTGGAGAATATAGGGACATCGGTTCTTGTTGCTGAAAATCAGGTGGAGTAACCAACCTTTCCTTATTAAGACTAGTTTAAATGTGTGATTAGGTTACACTTTTTTCTAATTATGGATCATGGATGCATTATGAAAGCTCAAAAGTAGACAATCAAACTCGTTATATTTTTCCAACCTTTATTTGTACTTGTGAAATGTCAATTTTAGATTTTCTTGAAGCCATGAAATTTTTGAAGGCTTTTTACCCTAAGATAGCCGTTTAGATTGAAAATTTCATTATTTATACTTCACTTGATTCCATGTTCAGTTATTATATCCTCCTTGCCCATCCTAGATATTTAATTAAAAAAAAAAACAGCAATCAATTTCCTGAAATGCATTACATACAAGATTTTTATATGATAGCTCTCAATAGTGTTTTACTTCTTTTTCCCTTCAGTGCAGTTGCAGAGGGAGGTGGGGGCTGTGGCCCCACCGAAATTTGAGAATTTTTTTATATAACTTTTAATCTTTATTTACTTTTTAATTTTAACATTTTTTTTTTTTTGGTGTTTGAAAAATAAATTGCCGTAGTTAAGTTAAGCCCCCACTGAATTTGTATCCTAGCTCCGCCATTGCTTCCATGTCATTTCACCTCAACATTTTTTTTGATATCTACAGAATCACAGTTCGGTGTGTTTACCATGAATGGGATATGCCACAATTTGTTTCTTGGGATTTAGAAATCATGCATTTAGTAGTTAACAGAAGAGAAAATTAACTGGTTACCAATATGTCTTCTATTTCTCCTTTTAACCGTTTTTTCGTACACCTTCATAAAAGTTTGTTGGATTGAAGAATTTGTATAAAGTGCATATCAGGCAGTTGCTACGCATTTGAAGCATCTTGCTTGTGCCAAAACCTTGCATGAGCACTGGTTACCAAAATCTTGCTCCTGCCTTTCACGAAAAAACTATCTAATTCTCTTAACGATTACCTTGTGGCAACTTCTGATATTCTTGAAGATAGTTTTCTGAAAGGTTAATATATGCAGACGAAGATTGTATTTTACCCATATTCACTCATGTAGTTGGATATTTGATTTTGCAGCTCCCTGAACTTTATCAGTTGATGGTAGAGGCTGCCAAAATACTGAACATAGAGGCACCCGACTTATATGTACGTCAAAGCCCCGTGCCCAATGCTTACACTCTGGCTATCAGTGGTAAAAAACCGTTTGTTGTTGTTCACACGAGCTTAGTGGAGCTGCTGACGAGAAAGGAGCTTCAGGTCATCATTTTATCTTCTCTAATAGGATGGGTGCTGTTCATTTCTGTAAATTATTAGCTTTTTTTGAATATCATGAAAGTTTCCCTTTCATCCTTCAAGCTATCCTATAATCGTCCTGTTGTGCAAATTTTCTAGCTTTTGAGTGATGTCCCCAGGACATCACTCTTTATCAAGAGCTTATGTGTACACCCTAGTACCACTGCAATTGCCCAGTGGTAACCTAACAAATAGCATCCCAACGAAACACCCTAACAGAGATAGCAAAGTATCCTAACAAATAGCATTTCAACAGGGTCAGCAAAGTATCCTACTAATGTTTTTGTTGCTCGTATTTAGGCTGTCTTGGCTCATGAGTTGGGTCATCTGAAATGTGATCATGGTGTGTGGCTGACATTTGCGAATATTCTTACACTTGGGGCCTATACTCTACCTGGTAAGCAGCTTATGTTCTCCATTAGTTATTTTGGATCAAATGTTGATTTTCTTTTTTGAATTATTATGGTCTTATGTAATGAGCTCCATGGAGTTCAGTTGTTATATGTGGTGTCATTTGTGGATTGCCAATTTACTAAATCTTTGTATCAAAAGACATTTAAGACTCTACCAAAGGAAACTTATAGTGCTCAAAATGCTTAGGTTTTCATTGTATTTGTTGATGTCAAAAAATGGTTAGCATTTTTCTAATCAACTTTACAGGAATTTCCAGGTAAGAAACAGTTCTACAGGGTTTCTTGCGGGGTCGGAATAAAGCGTTGGTATGAACTGAGAGTGTATTATGCAAGTGAATATGTCCCTGGATTTAGAGGAATTGAACTCCTTAAATAGGCAAACATGATATACGAATCACCCTAGTCATGTCAAGATACAATACTTTCTCATTGGATTGTGTGCGGCTGTAGCTCCGGAGGGTTGTGATTGGTTTCATAGGGAGGCTTCATGGCATGATGATGGTCTACAGCCTTAGCTTCTAGCCTAGGATGTCTAATCAACCCTGGTGAATTGGGGTGGTGCCGCCATCATGCGGGGACAATCTACTCTACCGGCAATGATGGCCTCTTTAACTTAATTACTTAATTAGGCTTTTCATTAGTTGTGTCCGACCTTGATATTTGAGTTTGGCATACTCATCCGACCTTGGCAGTTCTACCTATGCTTTCTCGAAGATCTCTGGCCCTACTTGAGTGGGCCAGCTTTGATCTGACTCAGGAGTTCAGTCCGGAACTCGTGTTCAGCTCAAGTTAGGATAGCAATATTATTCATCAAAATCAAAAACTTTACTGTACCATCTGTTTACAGGTCTTGGTGGTCTGATAGCTGAGAGATTAGAAGAACAACTTTTCCGCTGGCTCAGGGCTGCAGAATTTACTTGTGATCGAGCAGCCCTCCTTGTTGCTCAAGACCCAAAGGTAGAAAATATTATAATTTATCATTTGCCATTAGTGATTGAGTAAGTTCTTATCTTTTAATATCTTCTCCCAATCGCCTACAAGAGGTGGTCATCTCAGTCCTAATGAAATTAGCTGGCGGCTGCCCCTCTATGGCGGATCAATTAAATGTTGATGCTTTCTTGGATCAAGCTCGCTCTTATGACAAGGCTTCTTCAAGCCCCGTTGGGTGGTACATAAGGCCAGTGAAGTTGTCGTGCTTTTAACTTTCAATGTTTACTTACTATAGATAGATTCCCTAATGTGCTCGTTGACATTCAGGAATGCTCAAACAAGGCAACTTTCACATCCTCTTCCCGTTCTGCGTGCACGTGAGATTGATGAATGGTCCAGGAGTAAGGAGTTCCAATCTCTTCTTAACCGTGTGACCCCGGTCAACAGTACAAAATCTTTAGCATCTCATGTGAAATGAGAATAGAAAAAAATCCCTTGAGTGCTCGTACAGGTATTGTGAAGTTTCCAATATGTTCCAAATATTACCTGCAGTGGACCTTTGTATTTTCCTTGTGTGAACCCATTAAATTAAACCTCTCCCCTGATGATGCAAATCACTTCAGCTGCTTTTATTTGTTGTTATCTATAAGTAATCATTGTTCTCTTTTTTTGTGCTCTATTTAAGCAGATATTTGCTGCAAGATAGATGCTACACTGGTTTTGGCTGCTCACTGCATCCGAAGTAAGATTATTGTATGTTAAATTGTTAGAATTGTACAGTGTGGGATTACTACTTAAGTTTGTTGGTCAAATGTGGGATGAGCAGTGAAAAGATATTTGTATCTACTACAGGCACGCCATACGCAAGTTGTAAAATTGTCCGTTAAGCATTATTATAAGATGTCAGTTCCTACAAAAGAATCCTAGCTTTATGAAGTCTTGATTATGATATTTATTTCATATATGAATTTTTTCGGTTTTATGTATGGTAGTTGCTGGACCTGGCAGATATCTTATTAGTAACTTAGCATATCCTATATAGCATTTATAAGACGACAGATATTCGAGATGATCTGAGTAACATTTGGTATCCACATTCAAAATCCAGTTCTCTATACAGATCATGCCTATGTTTTCATTAGTATGATCACTCTCCTGGGAAAATCTTGTCTCGTTCAGATAGACATTTTATACTTTTTCATGCTGACTAATTTATTTCGTGATAGAGGTTATCATCGCTTTATTGTTAAAGTTCTCTTTCTATCAAAATATGATAATTGTTATTTGGTTGTGCAAAATAAGCTAATTGGAATTTGAGCATATAAAAAAAATTTATTTTTTTATGGAAGCATCTCCATTTCACATGTAATTGAGAACAAATGAGAGTACAATATCATTTCTATGAAAATTGAATGTGCAATTCTTATTGAACCTTGTTTCTAAATAGTTTGCAAATGAGTGTGGTCATAGTAGCTAGCTCATTTGTAAAAGGGCTACATGAAGTAAGGCAAATAGAAATATGAGCTGCAGATCGGATTTGTGCCCATGAGAAGCACTTAGAACTACACCATCAATGACTGGACCACAAAACACACCGTCTTTCCTCTGTGTAGTCTTATAGCTAAGAAAGGTGATTGGTGTTGGACTTGGCTCTCCCTTGAATGTCATAGAATATTTCTTGGCTGCTCCAGTCCCACTGCTCAGCAGAGAAATATTCTGAGCTGATGCTCCTGCCACTACCCCTACTATGAATTCCCCGGAGCACGAGTCATTGGCGTCTCCCAGCATGAATTCCAAGTTATAATTAGAACCCTCTGAAAGTGGTTTTGCTGTTTGTATTCCAGAGACTTCCGAAACAATCTCAATAGCAGCTTTGCCTTCTGGAACGAAGTAGTTTTTGGAGTTTATGTATTTCACATTTCCCATTGTGGTCCATTGTTGTAGAGCGGATTCTACAAGACTTGGTTCCGAAACCAGTAAAATTCCCTCCCCAGAAGAATCCAGGAATGCAGGTCCAGATTCAAATCCACCATTAGGAAGTAGATTATCTGTTTTCACATGTTTTTTTTCCATCAAACAAGCAAGTTATTAGTTAGTAATCCTTTCATTAAATTAGGCTATAGATGATTAAAGTGTGAAATGTCACACGCAGAACAAAGAGTAGAAGTATATGAATATAAGATGAAGATCAACTTACCACTGTTTTGAGCAGGTGGTCCTATGGTCTTAAGGAGAAGGGTGTCAACCACCGGCCAACATGCGGAATTGGGATCTACATCTGTAGCTTGACTTTGGAGTATTAAGTTTATATATTCTCCATCTCCCCAGCTTCCCAACCGGTGACCATAAACTTCCCGTGTTTCTTTACTGTACTTTTGTGTCAAAGAAAATTCCATGGAACTATCAGGTGCTGAAACCACAAGGCTTACATTAGCCTTACAGTTCTGACCAGCCTGAGCCAAAGTGAAAGTAAGCAGGTATTGCATTACATCCCCATTTGCAGTAAAAGTTTGGTTGATCTTCCCATCTTGACCCAACATTATAGCGTGTCCATTCCGGGGTAGAGATGCATTGACTCCTGCTGTTACATACCGGACTTCACCTTGGAATGTCCATCCCGGGATAGTGCTGTTTTCATTCAACAAAACAAATGGGGAAGTGGAGTTTGTGGGCAAGTTTGTTATTGGGAGTTCGAAATCTGGATTCTGCAAAATATCTGCAAGGAAACAAATTAATTTTGGTGATTTGATTTAGTAGAATAATTGTAAGAGTCAAGAACAATTGCCTGTGTACCTGCAGATGCAATCAACCAGAAGATACAGATGATGAAAATTACTGCCAGCTTCATCTCAGGTTGCTGCTGAGTTTGTAGTGATAATAAATTGGCTTTATGTCAAATGTCAGTTAAAGGCTGGTTGCAGAATTTAAATGAGTTGAGTTCCAAAAAATTTAATAAGATAGGAAGAGAAGGTACTTGGATCTTTCGCTGATTAATTGAACACTAATGATCCTCCTAGCAATGTTAGATTAAAGTCAATGGGTTGATTTTGGAATATATAACACGTGCCAGTCGTTTGAAGTTGACCATCAAGTGCTCCAAAATTGAAAAAATAATTTTATGATTTTAAAATAGCAACAAGAAAAAGTTGTTGGGAAGTCGCCTTTAAAATAACCAAAATAGAAAAAAAGGACTAATTTGTCATAAAAGGAAAGAAATTGGGATGATCCAATTAGTTTCTGCAACATGGTGTGTTCCTTCTTGTAACTGAAGGAGAAGGATGGATTGTATCGTTGACAAAGTGGCCTAGCATAACCTGCCTTGGTTCAGTTCAAACTGGAATTAAAGTGTTTTTTGAAAGGTAAAAGTGTTAGTTTAGCATCCTAGTTCTTTTGTTGTATTGTTTGTGCAAAAGAGTAGAATTATGGGTGTGGTAAAGGTTTGGTAATATTTTTAGTACGACACTTGGGGTTTGGATGAGAGAAATTTTATTCTTCTCTTTAAACACGCATAGCACTAATGTAAAAAATCGCAATTCTTATTTTCTTCCTTCCTTTGAAAGAAAAGAGATCTAAATCAACAACAGTCGAGAAAGCATTATGGGATTATATATTTAAATTTGCATAATATAAATTCTCTGAAAAAAACATAACTAAACAGTTTAATCTACAAGATTAGAATCATCTAATTTACCTCATCAAACGTGCAACGAGTGTTCAAGATTACAAAATCACATATCACCGTCCACCAAGCTCGACCCAGGTGTCTTCTTCAAACTTCCTTCTTTCATCACATTCCTCCTCTGTGACACATCCTCCCATCTTCCAGCCTCTGCATACATATTGGACAAAACAACATATGCCCCGTGATTATCAGGATCCAAAACAAGAATTTGCTTTGCCACTCGTTCAGCAACATCAATATTTCCATACTCCTTACAGGCACTTAACAATGCTCCCCAAATCACCACATCAGCCTTCCAAACCATTCCCTTTATCAGCTCTTCAGCCTCCAGCATCCGCCCAGCTCTTCCAAGCAGGTCAACCATGCACCCATAATGCTCTAGCTTGGGATAAATACCATAAACCTTCTCCATTGTATAAAAGATTCGGCAAGCATAATCAAACAGGCCAGCATGGCAGCACGCAGATAAAACCCCAACAAGGGTGATATCGTTAGGCATCATTCTTTGTTTCTCTAGCATTTTAAAGAATTCTAGCGCTTCATTCGCATGTCCATGGGCAGCCAGCCCACAAATCATTGCATTCCAGGTTGCAACATTTTTCTCTTTCAAACTATGAAAACAATGTTTTGCTTCGGGGATTGCTCCATTCTTTGCATACATATTCACCAATGCAGTCCCAAGAATCACTCCTAATTCATTCCCTTTCTCTGCCATATACTCATGAATTTTCTTTCCCAAATCCAAACGCCCTGACTGAGCGCAAGCAGATAACACTGAAGATAAAGTTACTCCATTAGGCTCGTATCCGTTAAAAATCATATCATTAAACAGCTTGATTGCTTCATCAGCAAAATCATTCTGAGCATACCCACATATCATCGTCGTCCAAATAGTCAAGTTCCTCTCAGAAGCTTCATCAAACACTTTCCGTGCATCCTCCAAGCCAAACGAAACTGAGTACCCTCTTATCAACCCATTAACAACATGCAAATCTAAGTCCAGCCCAAATTTCAACACATGGGCATGCATTTGTTTACAATTTCTAATAGAATTTAGCTTACAGCAAGCCTTGAGGACAAAAGGGAATGTGTGTTTCCCAGGAGTTACACCGAACCTCCGCATATCATTGTATAGAAGCATGGCTTCTTGAGGGTTTTGGCTACTGGCTCGAGCTCTTATGATTGTGTTCCACATGAATGAATTGGGTTCTGGGGTGCTCTTGAAGAGTTTGAGAGCGTAATTGAGATCCCCGGAATCTGCCAGAGCACAAAAGTTCAGTAACCGGCTGGCGGCGTAGGTATCATGAATGCGGGCGGTGGTGATCATTTGGCAGTGGATTTGCTTGAGCTGAGCCATTGATATGCATCCGTCCGCAAGGAGAGAAAGATTGGCATGCTTTGCTAATGTTATTGAGAAAGCAAGTTTGCCGATTGAAGGTGGTTTTGGTGGGATCATTCAGCCTGGACATTGATCTTATTATAGGATTGAAATGAATTTGGCATCTTCATCTACGCTTATAAATAGGAGACCCTCCAAGTAATATCCAAGTATGCGCTTGTAGTATTCTTTCTTTTGCGTTTGGTACTCTTATATTAAATTATTTGAAACGTCGTGGATGGAAGAGTTCTTCGTCCCTTTACAGTTTACGAAGAAGTAAGGTGGGCAGGAGAGAAGCCTTTCTGTGTCATCGTCACTATACAGTTTAAACTAACTATAGCGAAGAAAGTTCTCCAGTAAAACTACTGAATTGATATAGATGACACATTTAATCTCATGGTCATATCAAACAATCAAGGACCAGAAATACTTTGACGAGGTTAATCCAATGTTATTCAATAGATACAGAAATGATGGTACCGATTGGATTAGTGATATTCAGATTACACACATACATTCACAGAGTGATATTAACTACGGAAACAATCTTGGTATCTGGTGTTTCTTTAATATCATGATTTGGGATCCTGGTTCTTTAAGATTTCTTCCTTCCTCCCTCAAGTCAAGCTACCATTATGGAACAATTTAAAATGAAGTGACTAAGTCGATTTCTGCCACTGTCAACAGGTCTCCACTGGATTTCCCCGGTATTAGCATCTGGGCAGCAGGTATATATGGCCATGCAATTACCAGCAGAGGATGCTCCTACTACCAACAGTTCGTTTCCCAAAGACTTGAATGCAACACCCCAACCTCTGCTGCCATCAGCTCGTACTGGAACTGGCCCCAAATGCTTCCATTCATTCGTGTTCTTCAAGTACATCTTCAGCTGGTTTGAAGAAGCTTCAAGTGAGTATAACTCGTTATTTACAACAGCAACAAGAGGCGGTGAATGGGCTAATTGTACTGGATCATCTTTCAACATGTCTGGTATGAGCTTCCATTTATTTACAGTTTCATCGAAAAATTCACCACACGTTAGTTCTCCATGTTCATTTCGTCCCCCAATCACGTAAAATCTATTGTCCATGTAACATCCAGAGCAAAGTTTCCTCCTCCTCTTCATCCTTGGAAGTAGTTCCCACGATCCGTCATCTTGATTATATTTTTCAGCAGAATCGTAGACTTCACTGTTCGCTGCTGCCCCTATCCCACCGGCCACGTAAGCAGAGGTACCACAAGTTGCAGATGCAAACAAGCATCTTGGGCTAATCATAGATGGACCTTTGTACCATTTATTCTTTGCCAATTCGTATCTCCAAAGAACAAGACCATCAATCTCATTGCCTGAGACAAGAAGATGAGTCCCGGCACAAAGGGACTCTTTATCTCCCAATGAAAAACAAGAATCTGATGGTAAAATTGGCAGCTTCCTACGAGACTTAAATTCTCGATCAAATGTCCACCAACTGCTTTCCCCAATTGCCAACACGAAAACAGAAGATTCTTTAAATCCAATTTCCCTCCTAATCTTATAAAGCTCACCACTGTTTAAAAGAGCCAAACACCTCTTATTCACAAAGCTTAATTTCCAGTACTCTGACCTTGGAAATCTAGCAAAAACTAGGTTCTCTAACTCATAGCTAAGCGATGACCACTGAGAATAATCTGCATCCTGAGGTTCATCACCAGAAGAGGAAGACCTATTGTGATCTGGTTTATCGTCATTCTCCCACATTCTAAACTTGTTCATACGATATCCCTTCAGTTTCTCGTGTGCGCTTCAGCTCCAGTTTTCATCTATCTAATTAAAAGAAAAGATAAAAAAATTCACACATCATGCATAATAATCCATATAAAGTGAAATGTCAACATCAAAACCAAGTCCAAATTCTGGAACTAGATTTATACGTGTAGAGATCGTGAATTGCCAAGAAGAAACAAGAAAGATAGGCGTACCAGGGGAAGTCAAAAAGGACATAAGGTTTTGGATTCACTAGTAACTCCCTTCATCCTCATCAGTATAAATAGATAGATAGATAGAAAAGGGAGACGACAGGTGCAAAGAGGGCCCCCAGTATTTGATCAACGGAATTTAAACACGTATATGAATACGATTTTTCTTAAACAGTAGTATTGCTAATAAATATCCAACGTCAAGAATTAACGGCGTAATTAGTTAGTGTATAGTGAGAGAGCTAATTAATAAACATCTATCCTACTCACATCACACTTTTCTTTTTATCCTTTTCTAACTCCACAATTCTGTACTTTCCTATTTGGATATTGTGGATAGATTGTGCTCGAATAATTAACGAACAAATCCTTTTCCCAATTACTAATGCTATTCATTCTCGTTGGATTACAAATACAGTTTAGATGGCGTTAATGGACATTAAATGATAGATGAAATTACGCCATCTAAACTGTGTTTGTAACCCCCACTGAACTATAGAAAGTGGAAGTAGTGGATATAAACCCAAAACCCACAAACAAGTGGGATTGGTCGAAACTTTGTCTTTTAAACTAAAGATTTTGAAGAGCATGTTCAAACCTTAACTATAAGTACCACTAATTTCTTTTCTAATTGGTTCCCAGTTTTTTAGCGCTATGTTCCTTTTTATTTTTAACTAATTTCAAGAAACCTTCTTTCTATGCCCATTTGTCGTGGGAATTCCCAAAAGTTTTTCTGTAGAACTGCCACCTAAGTCGTACTAGTAAATATACTTTAGTAAGTTTGCGGGCCAAGATGAAAATATTGAATTTTTTTTCTTTTTTTTTACTGAAATAATCCCTTTTTTTTAAGTTAAGAATTGAAATAAAATTTATTGCATCCATAAAATTTAATGCCAGTGGCATATGCATGTGATTAACTTGAATCCACCACGAGCCAAATCCTTTTCACTCAAATAACTTGAGTGCCGATTGAAACCAACCCATTAAATTTTTTATCCCAAATTATATTAGAATTCATCGATCTTTATTTCTTCGTATCAAAAGTTCTCTTCTAAGAATCCATGGATTCTACATTAATTTTAGATGCGCTGCCATCTTATCAGTAACATATGCCCATGTTTGAGCCATATTCTCATTCTCATTATCATTGTTCTATTCATTTTTAACCACGCGTTCTTCAATAAAATAATATTTTTCATCATATCAATCATTTTTCCTTCTTTTTTAACCACATATTCACCATCACATCACAAAAAAAAATGCATTTTTTCCATTTTAATGTGCATCAAACACAATCATATTAATATTGCAGATATATAATATCCAATTTTATATTTGCTAAACTTGTCAACAAATTGGTACACAGTTGAAATATAGTATGCATAAACTTTCTTGAAAATGCAGCACTTTCTTTTAATAATTTCATGTCACGTGGTCTCTTGTACGAAAGGGCAAATGAAAGATTATTTCATCACTAGTCATTATTCATAATTATTAATAAAATGATACTAAAGATTTTGATCTACGAATCATATTAGAGTAAGGTGGTATTGGCTTTTTGCACATGCATGCATAAAGCCGTATCTTGTGCTTATTGTCAAGTTTTAGAATAACACTTGTCGCCTTAGGCATTCAACTATCAAATATAACCAGAGATATTGCTTACAAGCGTTGATGATCGATCATCACCTAACGTGGCAGTGGCATCAACATTGCTCATAAATACATTACCCATATGAAGAAGTAAATGTAATTTCTATCTATAAACTTAACAAAAGTGAAATAATATAGAGAATAGTAGCATGCAAAAATGTCAAGAAATAGGGGTGCGAGCTCCAAATGCAAATATAGAAGACTTGAGATACTAGAAATAAAAGTTTAAGCCCACTCTCCATAAATTTAGGTCGTTGTATGTTCCTCCAATGACAGTTCAAAAAGGAGGTCCAAAAATTTAAAGGGAAGATTACATAACTAACGGGTTAAGTTGTACCAGATAAGGTTTAAAATTTAAAATTTCAGACTTTTTCAAAATTTATTTATAAATTAATTAATTAAACATATATTTTATTAATTAAATATATTAAGATCACAATTCCATATAATTTGGTCACAAATTCTATATAATTGGTCACATATTATTAATTATTTAGTTTTATCAATTTCAAATTTAAGAAACTAAGTTTAAAATTTCAAATCTCTAATTTTTTAAGGTTTAAAATTTCAAATATCAGATTTTTATTTTCTTTAAATTAATTAATTAAACATATATTTTATTAATTAAATATATTAAGGTCACAATTCCATATAATTTGGTCACGAATTCTATATAATTAGTCACATATTATTAATTGATCACAAATCACAAATTTTATGTCATAAATTATTTTACAATCACAATTCAAAAATTTTATAGGTCACAATTTGTTTATCGATAAAAAAAATCAAAAATATATACATTATAATTTATTCATCAATCACAAATCTATCAATTTAATTAGTCACATATTATATTTCGGTCACAAACAGAAATTTAATATGTTACAAATTATTTTACAATCACAATTCAAAAATATTATAGGTCACAATTTTTTTATCGATCATAAATAAAAAATTTATACATTACAATTTATTTATCGGTCACAAATCACAAATATTATAAGTTACAACTTAATAGACAATCATAAATTGTTAAATTATCGGTCACAAATTAAAAAAATTAGGTCACACATTATTTCTTGATCACAATTTATCTTTTTCATTGGTAACATATTGTTNTCACAATTTATCTTTTTCATTGGTAACATATTGTTTATTGGTCACAGATTAATCAATTTAATGGTCACAACAAACCAAATAATTTGTGACCACAACCAGCACTTGTGACCATCACCGCACCACTCCTTCCAGCAGCACCACCGCCACTTTTGTCGCCAAAACCACCATTACCACCACCTCCGACAACAACACAACCACCTCAAACTAATCAACACAGAAAAACACCACCACATCGTTACGCCATTCCACCACCATCGTGACAAACCTATCGCAATCGATGTCGCCGCCGCCACCAAAAAAACCACATCCACTTTCAAAATTCTCTAGTACCCAAAACCTCACTACAGCCCATACCCAGCCTACCTCATTAGCTGACCCAAATTCAATATTGCGTCTTCTTCTTCCAAACCCTATAGCAACCACCATCGTCGTCGCCACCATAATCCCCAGTCGTGAACCACCACTGCATCCCACTAACATCCATCATCGTTGGCACCACCACTCACTCCAAACCACACCATGTGGTGCTTCGCAGATCACTGTAGGGACTAATCCGTCGCAGCGGCTGCTCAACAGATCGCTGGGGTACGGGTGAAGGCGGGTAGATCGATGTCGACGACGGTACGCGATCTCGAGCAGCGCTGCTCCGATATATTCTCTTCTGGCTGCGACGGTAAGGTAGAGAAAAGGGAGCGTAGAGTAGAGAGAGTGTGTGGGATAGAGAGAGGAGAAAAAATGGGCGACAGTGAAGTAGAGTAGAGGGAGAGAGGGATAGAGAGAAAAGAGAGAAAATGTAGAAGATGAAATTAGGGGTGGGCGCAGGTCAGTTTGGTTCGGTTTTTTTTGATTCCAGAAATTTTTGGGTATTTAGTAAATGGAACTGTCGGTTCCAAATATAATTTTGGAACCGTTCGGGTTCGGTTCGGTTCGGTTCGGTTCGGTTCCGTTCGATTCCGTACTATAATTAAAATTTTTAATATTTAAAATAATACTACATAAATACACCTGAAAGT